CAACTTACAGAATACAACTAAAGTTATGTTTAGAGGGAAATTTATATATAACACCCACATTAGAAAAAAAGGAAGACCTCAAATCAATAATCTAAACTTCCACCTAATGAACTAGAAAAAGAACAGCAAACTAAGCCCAACACAAACAAAAGTAAAGAAAGAAAAAACAAACAAGAATTAGGAACAATGAAATAGAAAACAGAAAAATAACAGAGGAAAAACAAATACGGAATTTCAATGTAAACCAAAGGTGGTCTTTGAAAAGTCTTTTTAAAATTTCACACACCTGTACACAGGTTGAGCAAGGAAACCTAGAGAACATAACAAATTACCAAAATTAGGACTGAAAGACAGGACATGACCACCAACACTATAGATATTAAAAAGTTTCAGTGGAAATACTACAAATAACTTAACAAATTAGACAATCTAGGTGAGTTGAGCTGTAGCTTCAAAACAATGCCTATCAAAATTCCAGCAGGCTTTTTTTTTTGGTAGAAATTAGCAAAATGATCCTAAAATTTCCATGGAAATGCAAAGAAATTAGAATAGCCAGAAAAGTATTGGGAAAAAAGATTTATACTACTTGATCTCATTTTACTACCAAGGTATAATTATCAAGACAATGTGGTGATGGTGAAAGGATAAGCATAGCCCAATGAAGTAAAATTGAGAATGCACAAAAGAATAAACTCTCATGGTCAATTTAATTTTTAACAAAGGTGCCAAGGCAATTCAGTGGGGGCAAAAACCAGTCTTTTCTACAAATGGTGTTGGTATAATTATATGTTCATAAGAAAAAGCATATACAGATCTTTACCTACAGCATATCCACAAAAACAACTCAAATAGATCATACGCCTAAATGTAACAGCTACTATAAAATGATAAAACTTTTAGAAGAAAACAAAATATTCTTCATGACCTTAGATTGAGCAGAGTTCTTAAATATGATGCCAAAAACATATTTCATGCTTGAAAAAATATTTGAATTCATCAAAATTAAAACATTTTGCCTTCAAAAGAAAACATTAGGAAATTGAAAGACAAGCAAGAGACTAGAGAAAGTACTTGCAAATCATAATCTGATGAAGGACTTGCATTCAGGATATATAAAGAACTCGATACTCAATAAAAAGAAGACAACTTAATTTTTTAAAAAAATAACTATTTGAATATTATATCAACTTTTATATATATAACTATATATGTTTTATGTGTATATCTATCATATATATCAAAATCCTTACATATGATATATAAAAATCTTTATATATGTTATACGTACATAAAGATTTAGATATATATAAAACATATATGTTATATACATGTTGGTGTAATAGCTAGCACCTATATATCTAATATATATTTAATATATAGTTTATTAGCTATCTAATATATATCATATATATCAGAATCTTTATATATAAACATATATAGAAATCTTTATATATGTTATATGTATATAAAGATTTAGATATATAAAAAACATACATGCAAGTTTTATATATGTTGGTGTAATATCTAATATATAGTTTATTAGCTATCCAATGTAATATAAACAGATTATCAATATTATAAGCTATCAGAAAAATGCAAGTTAAGGCAGATGATATGCCTCTTTACACACCAACTAGAATGTCTATGATAAAAAAAATGTGAGGTTCTGAAGAAACTTCAGCCTTCTTACCTTGCTGATAAACATGTAAAATGTTACGGAAAAAAATTTGACTTTTTTTTTTTTTTTTTTTTTGAGACGGAGTCTCGCTCTGTCGCCCAGGCTGGAGGGCAGTGGCCGGATCTCAGCTCACTGCAAGCTCCGCCTCCCGGGTTCACGCCATTCTCCTGCCTCAGCCTCCCGAGTAGCTGGGACTACAGGCGCCCGCCACCTTGCCCGGCTAGTTTTTTGTATTTTTTTTAGTAGAGACGGGGTTTCACCGTGTTAGCCAGGATGGTCTTGATCTCCCGACCTCGTGATCTGCCCGTCTCGGCCTCCCAAAGTGCTGGGATTGCAGGTTTGAGCCACCGCGCCCGGCCGACATTTCTTAAAAAGTTAAATGTATATCAAATATTTAAAGAGGAACTACTACTCATCCTTTTACAGACTCTTCCAAAAAACAGAAGAAAAAAGAAAGTATTCCAACTCATTCTATGAGGTTTAAAAAATCAAGAGGAATTGAATGGTACAAAACCCTGATACCAAAACCGGACAAGGACATCAGAAGAAAATAAATTATTGCCCAATATCTCTTATAGATGGAAATATTCTCAACAAATAATAGCAAACTGAATTCAGCACATATAAAAAGGATTGTACTTTATTACCAAGTGAGATTATCCCTGGAGTTGGTTTAACATTTGAAAATCAAAAACTAATGTAGTACACAATATTAATAGAGTAAAAGCCACAACAACATGGTTCACCTCAATAAATTCAGAAAAAGCATTGGACAAAATCCAATGCTTTTTGATTACTAAAACACTCCAAAAAGTGGGAATAAAAAGTGAATTTTATAAACCTGATAAAAAACATCTATGAAAAAATTCTCAACTAATACTATCCTTAATGGTGAAAGACCATACTTTTCTCCTAAAATCAGGAGCAAGAAAAAGATGTTTACTCTCTTCTATTTAATAATGTATAGCCAGGACAATTAGGCAAGAAAAATAAATGAAAGGCATTCAGATTGGAAAGGAAGAAGGAAAATTATTTGCAGATGACCTGATCTTGTATATAAAAAATTTTAAGGAATTCACTAAAAAACTTTTACAAGAAATGAGTTCAACAAAGTTGTGGCATACAAGATTATTATTCAAAAATCCACTATACTTCTATACACTAGCAATGAAAAACCCAAAATGAAATTAAGAAAAAAATTCCACTTAAACTAGCACTAAAAAGATAAATTCCTAAGAATAATAACAAATGAAGTGCGAGACTTGCACACTAAAAATGACAAAACTTTGTTGTAAGAAATTTCGGATCTAAATAAATAGAAATAAATGTCTATGGATGGAAGACTTAATATTGTCAAAAGGGCAGTACTCCCCAAATTGATGAATAAATCCCTATTAAAATGCCAGTAGACTTTTTTTATGTTCTAAAATTCATATGGAAATTCAAGGATCCCACAATAGCTAAAACAATCTTGAAAAAGAACAAAGTTGGAGAACTCAAACTTTGTGGTATGTTAAAGCATACTACAAAGCTACAATAATCAAGACAGTGTGGTACTGGCATAAGGATAGACACAATGGTTAATTGAAAGTCCAGAAGTAAACTCTTACATTTATAGTAAACTGATTTTTGACAAGGATGACAAGACAATTCAATGGATAAAGAATATTCTTTCTAATAAATGCTGTGGGGACAACTGGATATCCACATGCAAAAGAATGAAGTTGGGTCCTCTACCTTACACTATCGATAATAATTAACTAAAAATGAATCATAGACATAAACACAAGAGCTACAACTATTAAACTCTTTGAAGAAACATAGGATTAAATCTTTATGGTCACAGACTGGGCAATGGTTTCTTAGATTTGACACCAAAAGCATAAGAAACAAAAATAAAAAGAGATAAATTGGGCTTCATAAAAAATTCAAAACTTCTGTGCTTAAAATAACATCATTAAGAAAGTGAAAAGGCAACCCACAGAATGGGAGAAACTATCTGTAATCATATATCTGATAAGACACTTGTACAAGGGATACATAAAAATTCTAACAACTCTACAATAAAAGATAAATAATCCAATTATAAAATGAAAAAGGACTTAAGTATATATTTATCCAAAGAAGAGATACAAATGACTAATAATCACATGAAAAGATACTCAGCATCATTAGTCATTAGAGAGAGACAAATCAAAACCACAACAAGATACCACTTCACACTCACTAGGATGGCTAAAATCAAAATGACAGGTAATAATGCTGGCAAGAATGTGGAGAGATCAAAACCTTCACACACTGATGATGGGAAAGTAAAATGATTCAGGCATTTAAAAAACATTTTAACAGTACCTCAAAATGTTAAACACAGGGTTACCATATGACCTGGGAATTCTACTGCTAGATATGAACCCAAGAGAATGAAAACATATGTCCATACAAAAACCTGTACACAAATGTTCACAGTAGCATTATTCATACCAAAACATAGAGACAATCCGAATGTCCATCAGCTGATGAATGGATAAACGAAATGTGATACATTCATATAATGGAATACTACACAAGGAATTAATTGCTGATATCTGCTATAATGTGGATGACCCACAAAAATGTTATCTTCAGTTATGAAAGACCAGATATTGTATGATTCTATTCATATGAAATGTCCAGAATAAGCAAGTCTATAGAGACAAAGTAGATTGGTGGTGGCCTAATGCTGAGAGAGAGGGTTGGGGGAAAATAAGGGTTGACTACTAATGGGTACCGGGTTTTGTTTTTGGAGTGATAACATTATTCTAAAATTAGGTCGAGGTGATAGTTGTACATCCATCCAGTGAATATACTAAAAACTACTGAATTGTATATTTTAAATGGGTGAATTTTATGGAATGTGAATTATGTCTCAATAAAGCTGTTAAGAAAAAGTAAAACATGTTAAGCATAAAGTTATCAATCTAGTCCCAGGAATTTACCCAAGAGAAACAAAATATATTTCCATTCCACATAATATTTTTTCAAATGTTCATCACAGATCATGGTGGATGGGAGGAGGACTAGATTGTATTTCCAGACAGAGCAGCATGTGGAGGCTAGCATTACGAATTTCAGCTCCAGATTGACTGCAAGAACAAACAAGCTGTCGTGAGAGGACCCACAGACCCTCTGAAGCAAGTGGACTTCTCCTGCAGGACCCGGGAGACATCCCAAATACCGTGAGTGCCCCGACTGTGGAAGTAGGAAAGGGAGGCCCTCCTCTGCTGAACACACACCCCCACGGAGAAGCTGAAGGACTATTTGTGGGAGACGTTTCTGACTTTACCTGGAGCTGAGTCAACTTAGAGAGCCGAGCCGAGCGAAATGCAGGGGTAGAGAAAGCAGCAGGAAGGCCCTGGGAGCTCGCTGGGTCCCCAAGCAGCCCATTCCTGCCTGGCACCACAGGGATCGTTCAGGAGGGTGGCCAGAGGAGCAGGGAGTAAAACTCCACAGCGAGAAGGAATTCTCTAGCTGAACTTTGTAACAATTTGAACCGGGTGAGAAGCCTCCTGGTCGGAACATGGGGGAGGGCGAGAATCCCGCTTGCAGACTTCACAGCCGGAGAATAACTAAAGCCCTTTTCTTTCACAGCTGGGAGGCTTAAAGCCTCGGGCAAGTTTTCAAGCCATATCGCCCTCCGACTGGAAAAAGACTGAGGGCTGTTCAGAGGACACAGAGGGAGTGAGACTAGTCCTTCAGATTCTGTGGGAGCTGGGTGAGGCCTGTGACTGCTGGCTTTGCCCCACTTCCTGGACAACCTGCATGACTCAGCAGAGGCAGCCATAATCCTCCTAAGTACACAACTCCAGTTACCTGGGAATCTCACCCCCATCCCCACAGCACCTGTAATCCCAACTACTTGGAAGGCTGAGGCAGCAGAATTGCTTGAACCTGGGAGGTGGTGGTTGCAGTGAGCTGAGACCATGCCACTGCCCTCTACCCTGGGCGACAGAGTGACGCTCCTTCTCAAAAATAAATAAATAAGGAAAGAAGCACAAAGAACACCTGGGAAATTCATTGCAAAAAGATCTTTGCCTGAGCACACTGTCATCAGGTTATCCAAAGTTAAGATGAAGAAAAGAATCCTAAGAGCTGTGAGACAGAAGCACCAGGTAACCTATAGAGGAAAACCTATCAGATTAACAGCAGATTTCTCAGCAGAAACCCTGTAAGCTAGAAGAAATTTGGGCCCCTATTTTCAGCTTCCTCAAACAAAACAATTATCAGCCAATAATTTTGTATCTAGCAAAACTAAACATCATATTTGAAGGAAAGATTCAGTCATTTTTAGATAAACAAATGCTCAGAGAATTCTCCATTACCAAGCCACCACTACAAGAACTGCTAAAGGAACTCTAAATCTTTAAACAAATCCTGGAAACACATCAAAACAGAACCTCTTTAAAGCACAAATCACACAGGACCTATAAAACAAAATGCAAAAAACAAAGCAAAGTACACAGGCAACAAAGAACATGAAGAATGTCCTGGTACCTCACATTTCAATACTAACTTTGAATGTAATGTGAATGGCCTAAATGTTCCACTTAAAGATACAGAACCACAGAATGGATAAGAACTCACCAACCATCTGCTGCCTTCAGGAGACTCACCTAACACATAAGGACTCACATAAACTTAAAGTAAAGGGGTAGAAAAAGGCATTTCATGCAAACGGACACCAAAAGCGAGCAGGAGTATCTGTATCAGACAAAACAAACTTTAAAGCAATATAGTTAAAAGAGACAAAGAGGGACATTATTTAATGGTAAAAGGCCTTGTCCAACAGGAAAGTATCACAACCCTAAACATATATGCACCTAACACTGGAGCTCCCAAATTTATAAAATGATTACTAATAGACCTAATAAATGAGATAGACAGCAACACAATAATAGTGGGGGACTTCAGTACTCCACTGACAGCACTAGACAGGTCATCAAGACAGAAAATCAATGAAGAAACAATGGATTTAAGCTGTACCTTGGAATAAATGACTTAACAGATATATACAGAATATTTCATCCAGCAACTGCAGAATACACATTCTATTCAACAGTACATGAAACTTTCTCCAAGATAGGCCATATGATAGGCCATAAAATGAGCCTCAATAATTTTAAGAAAATTGAAATTATATCAAGCACTCTCTGAGATCACAGTGGAATAAATCTGGAAATCAACTCCAAAAGGAACCCTCAGAACCATGCAAATATATGGAAATTAAATAACCTCCTTCTGAATGAGCATTGGGTCAAAAACGAATTCAAGATGGAAATTAAAAATGTCTTCAAATTGAATGACAATAATGACACAACCTATCAAAACCTCTGGGATACAGCTGAGGCAGTGCTAAGAGGAAAGTTCATAGTCCTAAACGCCTACATCAAAAAGTCTGAAAGTGCACAAATAGACAATCTAAGGTCATACCTCAAGGAGCTAGAGAAACAAGAACAAACCAAAGCCAAATACAGCAGAAGAAAGGATATAACCAAGATCAGAGCAGAACCAAATGAAATTGAAACAAACAAACAAAAAAATACAAAAGATTAATGAAACAAAAGCTGGTTCTTTGAAAAGATAAATACAATTTATTTATTTTTGAAAACATAAATAAAATTGACAGATGATTTGGATTTATCTTTGAAAAGATCGATAAAATTTATAGACCATTTGGATTTTCTCTCTTCTTTTCTTAGACAAAACAAGATTAACCAAGAAAAGAAGAGAGAAAATACAAATAACCTCACTAAGAAACAAAACAGGAAATATTACAACTGACACCACTGAAATACAAAAGATCATTTAAGGCTACTATGAACACCTTTACGCAGATAAACTAGAAAACCTAGAAGAGATGGATAAATTCCTGGAAAAATATAACCCTCATAGCTTAAATCAGGAAGAATTAGATAACCTGAACAGACCAATAACAAGCAGCATGATCGAAACAGTAATTAAAAAATTACCAAAAAAAAAGTCCAGGACCAGATGGAGTCACAGGAGAATTCTACCAGACATTCAGAAAAAGAACTGGCACCAATCCTTTTGACACTATTCTACAAGATAGAGAGAGAAAGAACCCTCCCTAATTCATTCTATGAAGCCAGTATCACCCTAATACCAAAATAAGGAAAGGACACAACCAAAAAAGAAAACTATACACTGATACCCTTGATGAACATAGATGCTAAAATCCTTAACAAAATACTAGCTAACAAAATCCAATAGCATATCAAAAAGGTAATCCACCATGATCAAGTGGGTTTCATACCAGGGATGCAGGGATGGTTTCATATATGCAAGTCAATAAATGTAATCCACCACATAAACAGAACTAAAAACAAAAATCATATGATCATCTCAATAGATGCAGAAAAAGCATTTGACAAAATCCAGCATCCCTTTATGATTAAAATCTTCAGCAAAATAAGCATCCAAAGGATATACCCTAATGTAATAAAAGCCATCTATGACAAACCCACAGTCAATATAATACTGAATGGGGAAAAGTTGAAAGCATTCCCTCTGAGAATGGGAACAAGACAAGGATGCCCACTCTCACCACTCCTCTTCAACATAGTACTGGATGTCCTAGCAAGAGCAATCGGACAAGAGAAAGAAATAAAGGGCATCCAAATCGGTAAAGAGGAAGTCAAACTGTCCCTGTTTGCTGATAATATGACCGTTTACCTTGAAAACCCTAAGGACTCTTCCAGAAAGCTCCTAGAACTGATAAAAGAATTTAGCAAAGTTTCCAGATACAAAATTAATGTACACACATCAGTAGGTCTTCTATACACCAACAGTGACCAAGTGGAGAATCAAATCAAGAACTCAACACCTTTTACAATAGTTGCAAAAAATTAAAATATTTAGGAATATACTTAACAAAGGAGTCAAAAGACCTCTACAAGGAAAACTACAAAACGCTGCTGAAAGACATCATAGATGATGCCTACAAATGAAAACACATCCATGCTCATAGATGAGTAGAATCAATATTGTGAAAAATGACCATACTGCCAAAAAGCAATCTATGAATTCAATGAAATCTCCATTAAAATACTGCAATCATTCTTCACAGAGTTAGAAAAAACAATTCTAAAATTCATATGGAACCAAAAAAGAGCCCACATAGCCAAAGCAAGACTAAGTAAAAAGAACAAATCTGGAGGAATCACACTACCTGATTTCAAACTATACAGTAAGGCCACAGCACCAAAACCAGTGTCGTACTGATATAAATATAGGCACATAGGCCAATGGAACAGAATAGGGAACCCAGAAATAAACCCAAATACTTACAGCCAACTGATCTTTGACAAAGCAAACAAAAACATAAAGTGGGGAAAGGATACCCTTTTCAACAAATGGCACTGGGATAATTGGCTAGCCACATGTAGGAGAATGAAATTGGATCCTCATCTCTCACCTTACACAAAACTCAACTCAAGATGGATTAAGAACTTAAATCTAAGAACTGAAACTATAAAAATTCTAGAAGATAACATTGGAAAAACCCTTCTAGATATTGGCTTAGGCAAGGATTTCATGACCAAGAACCCAAAAGCAAATGCAATAAAAACAAAGATAAATAGCTGGGATCTAATTAAATGAAAGTGCTTTTGCAGGACAAAAGGAACAGTCAGCAGAATAAACAGACAACCCACAGAATGGGAGAAAAATCTTCACAATCTATACATCTGACAAAGGACTAATATCCAGAATCTACAATAAACTCAAACAATCCCATCAAAAAGTGGGCTAAGGACATGAATAGACAATTCTCAAAAGAAGACACACAAATGGTCCACAAGCATATGAAAAAATGCTCAACATCACTAATGCTCATGGAAATACAAATCAAAACCACAATTCAATACCACCTTACTCCTGCAAGAAAGGCCAGAACCAAAAAAATCAAAAAACAATAGATGTTGGCATGCATGTGGCGATCAGGGAGCACTTCTACACTGCTGGTGGGAATGTAAACTAGCACAGCCACTATGGAAAACAGTGTGGAGATTCCTTAAAGAACTAAAAGTGGAACTACCATTTGATCCAGCAATCCCAGTACTGGGTACCTACCCAGAGGAAAAAAGTCATTATTCAAAAAAGATACTTGCACATGCATATTTATAGCAGCACAATTCACAACTGCAAAATCGTGGAAGCAACCCAAATGCACATTAATCAATGGGTGGATAAAGAAACTGTGGTATATATACACGATGGAATCATAGCCATAAAAAGGAATAAATTAATAGCATTTGCAGTAAACTGGATGAGATTGGAGACTATTATTCTAAGAGAAGTAACTCAAGAATGAAAAACCAAACATTGCATGTTCTTGCTGATGTGTGGGAGCTAAGCTATGGGGATGCAAAGGCATAAGAATAATACAATGAACTTTGGGGACTTGGGGGGAAAGATGGGAGGGGTCGAGGGATAAAAGACTACAAATATGGTACAGCGTACACTGTTTGGGTGATGGGTGCACCAAAATCTCAGAAGTCATCACTAAAGAACTTACTCATGTAACCAAACACCACCTGTACCCCAATAACTTATGGAAAAATAAAATTAAAAAATTAAACAACACCACCATGTTCATCACAGTGTTATTCATAGTAGACCCCAAATGGACACCATTTAAGGTACCTCAACTGGTGAATGGACAAATTGTGGTATGTCCATACAGTGGAATACTACCCCATAATAAAAAGGAGTGAATTACTGACACATGCTACAAGGTATGTAGATGCCTCTCCCAAACACGCTTGATGAAATAAGCCAGAGATAATATGGTATAGTTCCATATGTATGAAATGTCCAGAAAAGGCACATCTCTAGAGATAGGAAGCAGATTGGTGGGACTGAGAATAGAAGCCGAGGTTGCCTGCAAATGGGCATGACAAACATTTTTGGGGTGATGGATATGTTCTATATTTGTATTGTTGTGATGGTTGCACAATTCTCTGAATCCACTAAAATTATTTATTTATACATTATGATGGGTAAATTTTATATTATTTAAATATATTACAAAATTGTGTAGTCTAGAAACTAATGAAAATTTTACTTCTGAAGTGAGTTAGAACAAGGTTGAAGGTATAGGGGAAGAGATGGAATGTCCTTGAATATATCTGTTCATGTAGTTTTGATTTCTGAATCACATTAATATTTTAAATAGTCAAAAATAAAATTACATCAGTAATGATGAAAACATAAATTTTGGGGGATAGCCATAGAAACAGAGATGTTGACAATTAATTTCATCTGCTGTTTTACAATTTCCAGTCTTCCTTGGAGTTAGGTTGGGGCCATAGGACTAGTTCTAGACCAAAGGCTCTAAGTAGGAGCCTCTGAGCTGAAATGTCAAACACTGACCTGATTCCTCTCTGTGCTCTCTTCCCTGCTTTGGCAGTCATGGAGCTCACATCCTCTGAGTGTGGACCTGTGAGTCTCCACATGGCACACAATTGCTCTGAAATTACCCAACTTGCGCCAGAGCTTTTGAGAGTGAGAAATAAACATTTTTGATTTGGAGATTGGTTTGTCGCCTCAGTCCTCAGCAGAGTCTAGCCTATTCTGACTATGCCAGGGATGGTATAAAATTGAGGCGAATTGTTGAGAGCAAAGAGGTGTAGTGGCTCTATCGGGGAATTGGAGAAAGTGATAAAAGGTTTTCTATAGTCCTGAGAAGAATAAACATGGGAAAACTTATGGAATATTAGAGTTAGAAGAAAACTAGAGACACAACTTTATCCCTTTCAGTATAAGGCAAAGAAACTCAGACCAGAGGGACTAATGATTAGGTCAAGAGCACATAACACATTGTTGCAGGACAGGTTGTTACTAGTGGAGGGTGTTCAGTTCTTGGCGTCTTGAACAAAGAAATGGACAAAACACACAAACAAAGCAAGGAAAGAATGAAGCAACAAAGGCAGAGATTTAATGAAAATAGAAGTACACTCCACAGGGTGGGAGCAGACTGGTTACAGAATTTTCTGGGGTTTAAATAACCTCTAGGGGTTTCCCATTGGTTACTTGGTATATATCCCATGTAAATGAAGTAGTGTCTCATGATCAGTCTGATTGGTTGTGGAAAGTGACCAATCAGAGGCTGAAGTGAAGTTATAAAGTTATAACTCTATGCAAATGAAGACCTGGCCCACAACCAGCTTGATTGGTTGTGGAAGGGGACCAATCAGAGGTACTTTCAGTTTTTCATCTGCCATGCAGAAAAGGAGAGGGTTGCCAAGGGAGTAGGCTCTGGTTCTTCTGTTACTTGGGCATGGAAAGTTGGGGTTTTCCTTTTGATTTAGTTCTAGGAAGTCAGTGTGAACCGGCCTTAGGTTTCCTGCCTCCAGACCCTATCCTCCTGCCCCGAGGTGAGCTCCCAAATTAGTGCTTTCCCAAGAAAAGAATTCAAGGGTGAGCCAGTGGTGTTAGACAGCAATCTTTTATTCACTGGTTCTGCTCCTTGAAGCAGGGTAACTCATAAGCAGTGCACCCAGAGCCCAAAATGCAGGGGCTCTTGGCAACTGCATTTATACTCACATACCTCATTTTCAAAGGGAGGCCATTGTCACATCATCATGGGTCAACCAATCAGGTGGACACCTCCTTTCAATGACTTTCCTGTCCCATAGGAGTTCTCAGGCAGCTTCAATGGAAGGAGGGAGCCAAGAAGGGGCCCTGGTATACATTCAAAGATGATAATTACAACATGGATTGTGTATATTCTTGCTCGGAAAGGTGCAGGGCTTCCCTTCCTACCAATAACCAGTTCGGTAAGCAGCTTGGTGGTAGTCACATGGAATAATTTCTCATGTATCTTCTCCACCTCTGGGACCCTGCTGCACTTCAGAGAGCTATTACAAATAACTCTGAGTAACAGTTGTGGGGGGTGGGTGGGAGGAGCTGGGATTCTAGGTTTTCTGAGGTAACCAACGCGCTAATTTGTTCCAGGACATTGACGTTGTGGAAAGCGAGGCTGTGTCTGTACTACAGCATTGGTTGAAAAAAGTAAGTAAGATTTCTTTATGACTCAGGGTATCCAAAATCCTAGAGAGCTGGTCTCAGTGGGTGTGGGATCTGGATTTCCTTCTTCATGGAACTGGAACTCAAGTTCATTGCCAGACACCCTTCCTAGATTTGAGTCTAATTTCTTCACATGTCCTGGAGGACACTGTGGCTTGTGTCCTGGTAGGAAACGTGTTAGCACCACCACTAATGCCGTCCTGCTTCTCAAGCATCCTGGCTTAAGGGTTTCAGCTGCATCCTTCCCAGCTCAAGGGTGTCTCAGGAATACCTTGGGATAGGGCCAGGTACTTAGGGAGTTCCAAGGACTTCACAGGAAAGAAGCTTATTGCAGGAACAGCGAGGTAAGGAGTGTATGTGTGTGGATATGCGGTGTGTGAGTTGTGATGGAGAATGAATAAAAGGGAAAGAAGAGGAGAAGAAGACCCAGGGTTGGAGGCAGAGTGACGTTTTCAGAGGGAATTCCTCACCTTTCAGACAGAAGAAGAGGCTTCTCAGGGCATAAAGGAAAAGCTGTCCATCAACTACCCTTCCCAGGGCGTAAGGGAGAAGATGTCCACGGACTCCCCTCCCACCCATGGCCAGGACGTCCATGTGACCAGAGACGTGGTAACTGAGAGTTTGAGATGTTGCATGGGAGTGGGGGTGAGGGAGAGGGGAGAGACAGGAGGTGCACCGTAAATGATTCTGGGCAAGGGTGAGGCTCTTGTCTGGGCTCTGTGCCAGCCTAGTTGGGGGCCACACTGGGCAGGAATCACATGGACCCTCTGGATTTCCCAGGTGAAGCACCACCTCTCTAAGTCTGATATGTCGGCAAACCAGAGCCAAGAGGTCCTAGAGGAGAGAACACGAATCCAGTTCATAAGATGGAGGTAAGGCGTCCCATTTGCCCTGGGCGAAGGAGGGAGAGGGAGAGATGCGCAAGCTCCTCTCTTCACGAGCCCGCAGATGCTCTTCTCTAGAGGTGTCGTCTTTGGCTGACAAATTTCTCAGCCTTGCTTTGGGGTCTTAAGGGAATATTCTTGCTATCTTGAAAGCCCAGCTCATTTCTACATTTTTAAATGACTTGAGGGGTTGGAAAACTGGGCTTGCACTCCATTTCCTAAATGCTTCTGAATACATTTCAGACTTCTGTTATTTTTGCACTTGAGTTGCTCAGAAGTGGCTGCACTTTAAAGAGCTGAAAGAAAATAAGCTCTTCAAATGCAGAAGCCAAAGTTCTCATCTGCAACCGAGGTGTGTGGAGGCTTCCCAGCGCCCAAGGCTAGAATTCTGCGCTTGGTCATGGTGGCTTCGCCAGCCTCCCGGGTGTCTGCCAGCTCACAGCCATCCCCACTGCCTCTCTTGGCTCTGCAGATGCTGAGCCACTAGGCCCAGGGAGCTGGCCTGAAGCCATCACTCTTCAGACAAAGGCTTTCCTATTTCCTTTCCTGCACCTGTGTTCACTGGGACTCTCTGAAGCACATCAGCTCCCCCTTCCCAGGAGAGGGACTGAGGGCTTAGACTGGTCCTCCGGGAAACTGAAGGAGACCTTCTCCTTCCCCCTCTCTTCTCCCTTTCCCTGCCGCATCAGCGGTGTTGATCGGTTGTATCAAGGAGGCTCCACTTCTCAAGAAATGGTTTCCATGTGCTTACCCCTTCTAGTGGCATCTGCCTTTTAAGAAGACTCAAATGCACAGTAATTACATAACCAAAAGGAATAACATGGTGGGATCTGAGAGGTCCCTGGGAAAGAGGTTTTTTGGATGGGAAGCCTTCTGAGGCCCCTAAAATCATAAATGTTGTTAATTATAATCCAGGCTTTCCTGTGCCCGATGTGGTTGTGCTATGGAATTGCGGACACCGTGCTCCTTGGTTTGGATAACACACACATCATCTTCCAATATTTTAAAAATCTTGGCTGTATAATAAAACTAGATTTAAGCTTTTGAGACAGGCTACAGGAATCAGTCAATTATCTACATATAATTTTTCCACTCTGGATTTCCTACAAAGATTTTAAACCAAAAGCCTCTGCCTATCTTCCCCCACAACCCACTGGTTTTGGTGTCCCCCTCTTATTTCAGTAAGTATGTAGTCCGGAAATATATATCCCTTTATGAAACAAGCAAAGAGGCTTCCCAGGAGACCCCACAACTTCCTCACTGTAGGCTTTCCTAGAAGCATCTCTGAACAGCAGTGGGTGTGGGGTGATGCAGGTCATCAAGAGCTGACGATAGGACAGGAATTCAGAAGACTGAATTCAGAAGGTGAATTCCATGGCTCATGAGACCACTGCCTGCTGCCTTTAGAAAGGGCGCTCAACTCTGTGTCCCTGGCTCTCCCTGGGACAGTCTGCTACCTGTCCAGCATCACTGGGGGCTCAAGGGTACCTGGTTAGTAAAAAAAAAAGCTTTGTGCTCATGAGTCAAGAAGGGGGAGAGACCAGCTCAAAAGTTCATGGTGTCGGGGCAAGAGCCATTGTTTGCAGGATCCCAACTCTAGCAATTCTCTATGCCTGTTAAGAAAGAAACTCAGATCCCATATGCCAATGCACGAATGGCCTTTTGCAGCCACACTCGTATCTTCCAAGTGCCAAGTGAGATGACAGAGGACATCATGCGAGATCGAATAGAGCAGGTGAGACGAAGGTAAGCTGTTTGGGACTGGTTGATTTGTGTTCCCGACTGGGGGCAGGTAGTGTGGGGGTGACTGCTGGGTTTCCCACCCACACCCACCAATGCTCTCTCTGGTACAACAACATCAAGAGCAGGGGCACACGGTTCTCAGGGCTGCGTCTTATCTTCTGTGCTCCACATGACAGGGCTTTGCCAGCCTCCCATGGTGTCTGCCAGTGCCCAGAAGGGCTCCAGGCTAAGGGCCTGTTCAGATGACTGTGCTCCCAGGCCCAGTGCGGCCACGGCCTAGGCATGGCCTGCCCTCCCACCCCAACCCCTGTGCCGTGGTCTGGGTAGCCTCTGCTATCAGGCAGCCTCCCTCCACCTGGCCCTTCTCCTCTGTCCCCTGCAGCATCTCCCGTCTTGCAGATGTCTCAGCTCAGGACTTCAGTATGAGACCCTCCTACTCAGACTGCTAAGAGCAACAGGTGAGAGAGCTGACGGATGAGGAACTGGGCAGAGAAGATGGTTATCCTGGGCAGTGGGAAGGGGCACTGCAGCAGGGAACTTGGTAAAGAGGCTTAGCCTTTCCCTACTGGGGAAGGGCCTGCACTCAGGGCCAGTAGAGGAGAGGAGGGCCGGCTGTCTTGGGCTCCCGCAACGCCTCTCTTAAGTTTGTGGAAGCACTTGAAGTCAAGTTTCAGATTGGCTTCCTGACTTTGTGGTGTCAGAGAGCACTGCCTCTGCATCATTCATGGGCCTGGGCTTTTGTGTTTAGGAGGTTGTGGTGGAGCCTGCAATTTTGCATTTCTCAGTTTCTGGGCATTGTCACTGCTGGTCTGCTGACCTCACCTTGAGTCACAGATCGTAGTGTCAGGCTGAGGCTGTATAGGTTTTAGACCTGCCACCAACTTGTGAGGTGACTTTGGGTCCCATGGTCTCTTTCCTTGTGCTTGGCCCAGTGGTCACACAGGGGCTGTTTGTGAGGCCCTAGGAGGTGGAAGGCCAGTGGCAGGATAAACAACCACAGGAGCTCTCCAGGATGCAGCCCCTGAGCCTGTGGTGAACAGCTGCGCTGGCCATTCTGGGGCTAAGGGAGAGATTTAGGCACAGCGACCTCAGCATGCTTACAGGAAGGCTGCTGGAGAGCAGTACCAGCATTTATTGAGCACTTACTGTATGCCAGCGTCTGCACAAGGTAGTTTGTCAGGGTTTCTCATTTGATCCAAAAAACACTCTTAAGAGAGGGCATCATTTGTGTCCATTATACAGAAGGCAGAACTTAAGTCAAGCCCGGGAGCAGATGCTGGGTTCCAATTCAGCTCCACCATGGGCAAGTTACATAATGCCACTGTGCCTCAGTTTCTTTATTGCAACAGAGTATCTACTTCAGAGGGCTGTCTTGGGGGTGATGGTGTCTGGCACATGGTAAATGCCACATCAATTGTTTGCTCATATTACTAGAGGTGAAGAACAGGAAGTGCTGGGAGGGTACACAGTTCGCAGGGGCTTCTGAGCTGGAAGAAACAGACTCAGGCTTCAATTCCAGCTGCCTGATGAACCACTGTCTATTCTTCCATGGGTTTCTGCTCTTTAGATGGAGCTGTGGGAATGCGGAGAACAGTGGGGTTACAGGGAGTCATCAGCAGCCCTACCCCTTGGCCAACCACATCTCCCTGCTGTGTCCCCTGGGCATTTCTCTACCTCCTAGGTGGAAGTCCTTCAGGGTCCAGCAGCAACCTGTATCAGAAGAACATCCTTCTCTGCTTGACCTGACGAAGGGCCAGACCTGGGCAGAAAGACTCCAGCAGGTGAGCTCTTCGTGCGACAGTGTCAGCACTGGAGTCTTCTTGCTGAACTGTGAATAAAGAGACGTGCTATTTAACAACTCACCCTGTTGCTGGTTGGGGTGCCGTGTCATTCATTTGTTCATTCATCAGACACTGAGTACCTCACAGGCCTGGCTCTGGGGACACTGACTTACAGCCTGAGGGAGACAGACAGCAGCCATTCCAGCAATGGGACAATGGTGATATGGGTGCTACTGGAACATAAGAAGGACTGCTCTGTGGCTGGGGCAGGGGGAACTTTTTGAGGGAAGTGTGCTGGTTTGTTTCAGACATTTATGTTATCTGTACTTATTCCTTCTCTAACTCTCTTCCTTTTTAATGTAGGTTTGGTTTCTGACCTATATTCTTTTCCTCCTCTTTGAAGAACTTCTTTTAATGTTTCTTACAAGGTAGCTATACTAGTGACAATTTCCCTCAATTTTGGGTGGTTGGAGAAAGTCTTTATTTGTCCTTCTTTTGAAGGGCAATTTTGCAAGATACAGAATTCTAGGCTGGCAATCTTTTTTTTTCTTTCAACACTTAAATATTTTACTCCACTCTCATCTTGCTTGTATGGTATCCAAGGAGAAGCTGGATATAATTCCTATCCTTGTTCCTCTATAGATAAGGTATTTTCGCTTTCAAGAAACTTTGTCTTTGATTTTCTGCAGTTTGAATGTGATATGACTAGGTGTAGTTATTATTTATTTATTTTTTTCATTTATCTTGCTTGGTGTTCTCTGAGATTCCAGGATCTGTTCTTTGGTGTCTGTCATTAATTTTGGAAGATTCTCAACTATTATTCAAACTCTTTTTATTCTCCTTCTGGTCTTCCCATTACACATATGTTACACCTTTTGAGATTGTCTCACAGTTTTTGGAAAATGTTTCACTTTTTTCCACTCTTTTCTTTTTCTCTTTGTCTTTCAGTTTGGGTAAATTCTACTGACATTTCTTGAAGCTCCAATTGTTTCCTCAGTCTTGTCTAGTCTACTGATGAGTCCTTCAAAGACATTCTTTATTCCTATATAGTGTTTTTGATTACTGGCATTTTCTTTAGACTTTTTTTCTTAGAGTTTCCATCTCTCTGTTTACATTACCCATCTGTTCTTGCATGTTGTCCACTTTCCCCATTAGAGCCTTTAGCATATTTATCATAGCTATTTTAAATTCCCAGTCTAATAATTCCAATATATCTGACTGGTTTCTATACTTGCTTTGTCCCATAAAGCTATGTATATATATTTTTAGCAAGCTTTGTAATTATTTTGGGGAAAGCAAGACATGATTTATCAGGAAAAGGAGCTGCGGTAAATAGGCCATTAGTGTGAGGCTGTATGCTTACCTGGCTAGGAGGCTATGTTTATGGTTTTGTAGTGTGTCAGAGGCTAAGGTTTCCTCTAGCATCCTTGTCTTCATCTTTCTTGTTGTCTTTGGCTTTCCCTAGAGGCTCCTTCTTAAATAGAGTCTGAGGCTTACAGTTATTCTGCTGTAATCCCCAGTTATATAATAACTATACAATACAATTTAACATATAACTATACAATATAACTATACAATAATTTAACACAATATTCCCATATTATTGTGGTGATAAGTGTGTGGGAGGGGAAGTGTTCTATATTTGCAAGGTTAGTTCTCAGTGTTTAGTGAGCCTTTGCCTCTGGGCTGTGACCTTTATGTGTGATTCTCAGCTTCCCTCACTCACTGATCTTAGGAAAGACAGGAAGGCTTGAGGGGAGGATCTGGAGTTGGGCATTTCCCTTCTCCCAGGCTGGCTTGGCCCTGGCAAAATAGTTTCCCTTGAGGGTGGGCTCTTGTTAAGGAGAACAGAATGCTCTGGACCTATTTAAAAATGGCTACTTTCCCCTTTCCCTTTGGGAAACATGAGGGGATTTTCTTCAGTTTTCATTGTGAGGAGCTAGTAGAGCTCCTGAAAGCAAAACTCATGAAAGTGTGGGGATCCCCCCAGTGACTGGGCCCTGGACTTTTTAGTAGTCAACCTTGTCCACACTTAGCCTCCAGCAATTTGTCAGTTACAGTTTAGGTAGTTTAGGTTTTCCTGCCCAGCACTGGCTCCTGTAGAGTTTTGTGTGCCTGGGCTTCTGTCCAGTAAGTTGTGATTCTCTGTATCCACCTTTCTACCTCTTCAGTCTTCAGGTCAGTGGTTTGCCTTCTCAGCTCAACTCTCTGAGGGATCTAAGAAGAGTTGCTGGTTTTCAGTTTATTCAGTTTTTCTTATTGTTAGGATGAGAGTGATGACTTCCGAGCTCTTTACATGTCAGACTAGAACCCAGAAGTCTTATTGAAGTATTTATCGAGTGTCCACGAGAATGACCACTGATGTTCACTGAGCACTTTCTATATGCCTGATCCTATCCAAGGACTTGAAATGTATCCAAGCACTAAGCCAAGCAGGCTTTGGCATAGATGGTATTATTATTGTTAGAGAGGAAATAACACAAGGCCTAGGTTAAGTACCTTGACCAGAGTCACTTTGGTGACTGGGGAGTGCTAGAATCCCAGCGTGGCTTTCTTGATCACTTTGTTATGCTGTATGTGGGCCCCAGGCCAGCCCTGGGAATACAGCAGTAAATTACGCCCACCCGGTCCCTGCCCTGGTAGAACTTTCATTTTGACAGGGGAGATGAATTTTACACAAACTCATCAGTTGTGAGTCTCAATTTTCATAACTACTTGAAAGGTGAAGTCCTACATATAATGGGAACTTGCCTTCAGAGAAGGGAACCTAGATTTCTTTTTTATTTTAAAATCATCATCCCCCTTTTACGGATGAGGGACAGGCAGTTCAGAGAGGCTAAATAGCTTTCCTGATGTCATCTAGCCATGAAATGGCAAGCCAGAGTTTGAATCCAAATGGTCTCATGCCAGAGTCAGTGTCCTTAACCCCTGCCCTCTCCGGCAGAGCTGGGTGAAGGATCACTTCGGTTTGTTGTTGGTGAGCTTTACCCACCAGACACTGCACAAGGAAGGGAGAGAGGTTAAAGTTCCTCCCCTGCCGCACTTTTCCTAGGGGCCAGGACACCTGGACTTTCTCTCCCCACCACTTTTCCCTCCCAGCCTCCCTTTGCCTGAATGCCCCAGTAGGGTAGGCTGAGGGAATAGAGGATGAGTAGGAGGTAACCAGGCAGAGGGGCAGGAGAGCAGCCAGCCCTGGGCAGCGGCAAGTGAGAGGGCTCTGAGAAGGGAGAGAAGTCTGGCTTCATGGACACACCAAAATGCTGTTCTAGCTAGATGGGAGACAGGGAGCGAGAAGGGGGACGGGGAGGCTGCCAAGAGGCCAGGTGGGCCATGTGGTATGTGGAGAACTTGTTAAGGATCCCGCCTTATCCTAGCAGAGACAGGAAACAGGATGTGCGGGAATGTTAAAGCAGAAAGTGATTTTACATGTGGAGACAGGCTGCGGCAAAGGATGGCAGCAGAGAGCCCAGGAAGGGTCCACTGGGCAGTTGCAGGTTTGTGTGAGACGGCAGTGGCTGACACATGGCTCCTGGCGATACATGGCTCCTGGAGTGGGGAAGAAGAAAGGTCCTGGGGGTACAGTTGGGGGAGGGTGCCGCCATTAGCTCAGGTAGGTGGGCCTAAGTTGAGGAGATCAATTCAACTTGGGTCCTGAGTTTGGGTCCCCATCGAATGTCCCAGTGGTGATGGACACAAAGGGCCCGGGTCCAGGGGGAAGCTTGGAGAACACTGAAGGCAGAGAAGTGGCACAAGCCCAGGCTGCTGGAAAGGGGGTACTGCCTGCTTGGGAATGGCTACAGCCTGGACGTCAGTGGAGGAGAGGGGTGGAGAGGAGGTAAGCTGGCCTTCCTCAGAGCCCTCAGTGGGCTGTGCCCTTCCAAACGCTCACTCAGGCTTCTTGGGAAGGCAGGGAGCAGTGCTTGGCTTGCCAGAGCCCATGGCGCTGCTGCAGGGAACACCTTTCTCTGAACCTGGTGGCCTTGGGAGGCAAGCAAAGGGAGGAAGCCCTCTCTCTCTTCACTATTGCAGCTGAGAGGCTGTTTCGCTAGCAACCACCAGATGGTGCCCTTTCCACGCAAAACGCACATTTCCTGAAGGTGCCCTGGCCTTCCCTTTGAGTCGGCTCCTGCAGGCTGGGCCAGTAGAGATTGTCAGCCCTTTGGGAAGCCTCTGAAGATGGAGCGCCTCTGAGTGTCTCGTGTCGTCATGAATACAGTTCACATCCACACGCCTGAACCGTATAGCAGAGATTCATTCCAAGAACATTTGTGGAGCATTTATGCCCAGCACCGGGCCCGTGCTGTGAGTGTGAGGATACCGGGTGAATATTCTGTTATGTTCTCAAGGAGTTCAAATGGGTGGAAGGGCTGACTGCAAACAAATAATGAAATATTGTGTGAAAATAAGCCAAAAGGGTATAAATGGTAGAGCACACAGAAGGGCGTGATTTTCTCTGCTTCAGAGAAAAAGTGTCAACTGATTCCCAGAGGCAGTGACGCTTGAGCAGAGTTTTGGAGGCTTTTGCCAGGCTCTGACAACCAAGGAGGGGTCCTCCAGGCAAAGGGAAAGTCCACGTTGCAAGGAATGAGGAAGGTTAGGGAACTGGGCCTGGCTGGCTGAATGTCTGGAATGCCGGTATGGTGGGTGGAGGTGTGGTGGGGGACATGGCAGGAGAAGAAGCTGGGAGGTGGGTCAGGTGCTGAGAGGTGACAGCTGGGTGCAAAATAACCCCATGAGACTGGCAGAGGACCTGGGGGAGGAAGGATGGAAGGAGTACCACGCTGGTCAGGTCTGGCTTCCCAGGGGAGAGAAGATGGGCCCAGGAAAAGAGGGGGAACGCACGGCTTGCAGAAGATGCTAGAGGCCAAGAGCCGGGCAGGAATGGCTGAGTCACCCACAGGATCCCACTGTCTCTCTCTCACCACATCTGGAGTTTGGGGAGAGAGGGACCCATATTAGTATTATAGCCACAGCTCCTTCAAACCTAGGGTGGAAATGAAATCATTAAGTGGCTCAAACGGAGTTTTGTTCTGTGCATGATTAACCCCAGGAGGGGAGTTTGGGAACAAATATGCCTCCTCTACCTGTATTACAGAGGGACTGAGCTACGGTAAATTAAAAGAAAATCACTGGCAAATTTGGGACCAGTCAGCTGTGACCAAGCCATTTGTGTAGTTAAATGGAGCTGAAAGAGCTCATCAAGGTTTTGTGGGTCATGGATCCTTTGAGGGGAGGGGTGAGAGCTGGGGGTGGCAGGTGGGTGGGGAGCCAGTCCGGGAGGCCACAGGTGGAGGTCTATCAAGGGACTACTTGGTGGTGGTGGCAATGTGCGGTGCGGGCCTGACTTTGTCTTGCAGATCACTTCCTAACAGGACCTTGTTAATTCTGGACAGAGACGGGGGCTCTCATGTGAGACAGACTGGTACAGGCAGGGTCAAGCTCTGGAAGACCAGGAGACAGGGAGGGTGTGCCCACGTCCACCAGGGAGGCGGCCTGCTGCGTGGGTCACTGCAGGGAGCGATGCAAAGTGCTGCTCCATGAACCACACCCGATGTTGTGAAGACCAAGCCACTGTCCTGGGGTGTCCACTGCGAGGCGGGATGGGGCTCTGTCCCATCCTTAGGTGGGGGGTTACACACCCAGCCAAACCCGGACATGGAAACCGGGCGGGTGGTCTCAGATGCGGGAGAGGATGTCTGGCGGGGGCCAGCAGGGTAGGGGCAGGCGGAGGGCGGGGGTGGGCCGCGGGAGGAGTGGGGAGGGCAGGGACGCCCCGGGCTCCAGCGGGGCCTGAGACCCCGGATCAGGGCGCCGCGCGGCCGCGGAGTAGGGTGGCCCACGGGAGCCCAGGCCCTCTCGGGGCTCAGCGGCCAGCGCGGGCGAGGCGCCCACACCGCCAGCCGACTGTGACCATTTCGGCCACCGGCCCGAGGGACCTCCGGCCCGGCGCCCAGAGGCTTCTGCGGCTTCTCCCCTCGCGGGCCGGCCTGGGGAGGACGCGGCACCACCCCTCCCCGAGGGACCGGGAACCTCGACAGGGGAGGCCACCCCGCCTCCGCCGAGCAGCCAGACACAGTGTTCGACATGTTTTCCAATTACTTGGCAGGCTCCGCAGCGATGCTCGAAATTCATTTTCCATCCTGAGAGGGGAAAAACAAAGGCAAGAGAAGGCAGCAGCTGCTCCCGGCGAGTTGGGAAACTTTGCCGCAGCCAGCCGGAACCGGGGCGGGGCACGCACGGGGTCCCACCCTCCCTTGCCGGCCACTATCCCCCTCGCCCGGCCCCTCCCCTCCCCGGCCCTCCCTCCCCGGCCTCCCCATCAGACCACCGCGCAGCCCTCCCCCTCGGGCGCCCCTGACACCACCAACACATGGCACACCTAATACCTCCTCGTATTTCTCTTTTTCCTAAAGTTTTTTGTCTGTGGTTCCCCAGCATCTTTAGAGGCCCTCATAACTCTTTTCCCTTCCAGTAATAAGCTCCTAGAGGCACAGTGACTGTTTCCTTCCCGGACGGACTAGATCACTGACTCATATTCCAAAAGGCTTAGGAGTAGTGTTTCATAAACGTGAAGACTACCAGCCAGCAGTCATTGGTGCTGGAAAGGGCTGTGCTATGGCTGGTGCTTCTTCCCGGGTACAGGAATCCTCATAGCTAACACCCTCCGGCCCTGTCCCCTTCGCCGGCCTCCCCCTCCCGGCCCCTCCTCGCCGCGCCTCTATCCCCTCAGCGCCTCGCCTCCCCCGTTCGCCCGCAAGGCGCTCCCCTAACTGCGCCCCGGGATCCTCCGTGGCGGGCACTCCGCCGCCGCGTTGCATCCCCCAGACTGCAGCTCTCTCCCCACACGCTTCAATCACCGCCCCCGCCCTTCTCTCCACCCCGGCAGCACTGGTCCTAGTGCCTCTCCTCAGCTCACTTGATCTCCTGCCGCCCCCTCCCGGGAGCCCCTGCGCAACACCGTTCTCCGAGCCCTGCGCCCGTCCCCGCCCGCTCCCGGAACCACTGCCCTCTCCCGCCCGCCTCCTTCTAGCTGATTCTGAGGGCCTCGGGACCACAACAAGGTCCGCAGCCCGAAGGTCCCCAGCAGGTGGGTTTGCTCAGGGTGGGGAGGACAGGGCAGGACTTCGCGGGGCGGGCGGTGAGTGGAGAAAGTCCACACCCTCAGCTGCGCCCCCAGCCCCCTGGGCACGGCTGCTCTCCGAGATCAGTTGCCCTCGGACCGTCTGTCTGCGGACCGTCGCCGCTGTAAGCGCCTCCTCCTTTATGGCCGTTTCCCGCTGCCCCAGACACAGTGCGTGACGTCGGTGCTCAGTAAATATTTGTGGAAGGAATCAATGACTGGGGGGGCCTTCGCCGCTGTTTCTTAGTGCTCCCATCAGTGGTCTGCCTCCTCCGCCCTTCAGGGCCCTCGTTCTCTGTGTCTTCATAGGCACCCGTTTGTGGGCCAGCCTGGAGGTCCCGAAAGTGAAGGCTGAGCGGGCCTTTCACGGGAAACCTGGTACTTGAGCAGGATTCCAGGGAAAAGGGCAGGTACAACAGTCTCTGCCTTATAAGGAGGCGGCGGGAAGGCTGAGTGAGCAGCTGCTCGTGGCGTGCTTTCAGCAAGGAGGATGTGCTTACTAGCAGTGTGTGTGCACATGTGGGCTTCTGGGAGGCAGTGTAACGTAACTGCTAAGACGCTTCCACCTTCGGATTGCCAGGCCTGGGACCCTGGCTTTACCATTTGGCGGCTGTGAGATTTTGAGCAAATGGCTTAACCTCTCGGTGATTCTGTGTCCGGGGGTCCCGGTGAAGATCAAGTGAGATAGCATCCGGGTAGAGCCGCATCACATGCCCGCCACTTGGTAGACCCTCAGTACAGGGTAGCTATGAGGATTCCTGTACCCGGGAAGAAGCACCAGCCATAGCACAGCCCTTTCCAGCACCAATGACTGCTGGCTGGTAGTCTTCACGTTTATAAAACACTCTCCTAAGCCTTTTGGAATATGAGTCAGTGATCTAGTCCGTCCGGAAGGAAACAGTCACTGCCCTCTAGGAGCTTATACTGGAAGGGAAAAGATTATGAGGGCCTCTAAAGATGCTGGGGAACCACAGACAAACACTTAGGAAAAATAAAAATATTAGGTGTGCATTTGGGAGCCAGTGTAGGAGGGGTGTGCTGTCAGAGATTCATGTTTGGTCAACGAGGGATCTGCACATTTTCAAAGGAGAATCAGAGTCTTAGCTCTGTGGGCTTCAAAGAGGGGCTCCCCTGAGGACCTGCTGGACCCAGCACTCCTGGCATTCTGAGGAGGGGGCTTCTCTGCCTCTCTGTGCCCACTGAGGGACGGTTCACTGGGGCCTAGTCTGGGAGGAGGGTGCTGTGGCATCCTGTGGCCAGCAGGTGATGCTGTTGATCTAGTGGTGCAGGCTGCCGGGTTCTGGATGGTGCCCTCCCACCCCCTACTCCTGCCCTAGCTGCTGATTGCTCATTTTCCACCAAGTGCCCTGTGCACAAGCTATCAGAACACCCCCATTAGCTCCTGCAGCTAGCCCTGTGCTTGTTCTTCCAGTGGGGACAAGTTCCTCTACCTACCGTGGGCAGAACTGAGTACAGGATTTAGGAGTGAGCAGTGGACAGTAGACCTTCTATTCCATTATGAGGGAAGAGGTGTGATTGCGCTCTGGGTGCAGTGGGGACTGGTATTGACTTCTGGGGAAGTGGGTTCACCTTGCCACACCACAAAGCCACAGTTTGCGCCTGCACACCCCGCGGGGCTTCTTCAGTCAGTTAGGATGTCTTGCAGGAGGGATGGAACAGGGGACCCTAAGGGCAGGGGTGGACAAAAGAAGGAACAGCACCATGAATCAGTATCCCAGAGCTGTGGAATCCCCTTTCGGGACCCAGGTCCTGCATCTACTTCCTCAAGGCTGCAGCAAAGTGGAGCTTCTCCAACCTTCCTGGGTGTCGGACTCCCTTCCAGGAGGTACTTATTAAAGATGTGGACGACTGGATACAACCTTGATTCATTTGTCTTGTGGGTTTGGGATGGAACCCAGGAACCTGCATTTTTATCAGTTCCATCCCAGTGATTCTGAGACAGTTGTCCTCAGGCCAGGGTCGAGATGCACAAGGATAAAGCATGCTGTTTTTCTCAGTGGAAGAGAACTTGGCAACTCCACAACCAGCACCAGGAGAACATTCTGCTTACTTCAGCTGCCCTTCACCTGTTCCTTGAAACATCTTTTGCTAATTATACTTGTGACCACCCCCAGGTGGTCCTGCTTTGGTCCAGGAGAGTTAACAAAAAGGAGAGAGACAGAGAGACACAGCTATAGACAATTTGGTTGAGCAGGTAGTGGGTAATCTCACCCAACTTGAGCCCATTAAGCACCCCCTGCCCCTGGTTCTGGATCCCTTGGCTTTAATCTAACCTTCTTTCTGAAGGGGTTGGTCCTGCATTCTACAGGGAAGAGACAGCATGGGTGTGCGGTCTTTCCGTGAGCCTCACAGGACCATGTCACCACTCATATTGCAGAAACGTGCACACAGGGTGTGTGTGCCTTTGCACGTGTGCACACACTTTACTCCCCTGGGCCTCAGGGTCAAATGATGCCTTGTGAAATGAAAGAAAAAGGTGCTTTTCTTTGAGTTTGCACCATTTGGCCCCCTTTCTCAGGGCTTGTGGCCAACAGTCTAGGGAGTCGTGTGGGCTATGGGAGGAGAAAGCAATGGGGGCCGCAGGACCATGTTCATGCCACCCTGCCTTTGCTGAACTGTGTGGCAATGCTTACGTCACTTAACTTCTCTAGACATGGTGTTTTTCCATCTGCGAATTAATAATGTCCTCCTCTCAGTGTTGGTTTTAGGTGAGGCACTGCGTGCAAATCCGCAGCACCATCTCTGGGGAGGGCTGGTGGTCATCCATGTTATCTCTGCCTCCATCCCCTGCTGCACCCCTTTTCTCCAAAGAGAAGAGGCGAGTTATTCAGTGTGTCCAGCCTACCCCTCTAGAAAATGGGAAAGTTCGAGCCCCTCACCACCCAGAGTTGGTTTGAGCCAAAATTGTTGGGAGGAACTGGGGTTGGGAAGGGTGTTATGGTTTGATATTTTCACTGCCTCCTGCCTGGGGGTCTGGCCAAGACTGTGGTGTTAGACTGTTCTTTGTCCAGTCCTCTGAGGTCTGCCCGTTCTCCCATCCTCAGGTTGGGTTTGTGCCATGGATCCCAGGTGGGCTGACCTTGGGAACCACCCAATGCCTGGCATATAGTAGACACTCAATAAATTGTGTTGTCATTAAACCTTGGATTGGCTGGGTGGCCTTGGACGAGCCTGTTCATGTTTCTAACCTCACGAGTGAAATGGGAATGGTAATAGCACCTGCATGGCAGGGACAGAGCAACTGCACACAGGGCTTCTAACAGTGTTCTGCACGTTTGTTAAGTGCCTCAATAAATGCTGCTGTGATCAGTACAACACCGGAGGGATCGTAGCTCGTTCTTCCCTCCTACTCTTGGGGGAATGTTTTAAAATAGAAAAACTGTGTTTCCATCGAGACATCCACCACCCAGAGCTTTGAAGGAGCAGGGAGAAGACTCAGAGTGAATGTTGCCGATGAACAAACTTAAATTCCTGATGGGCAGAAATGTATCATTTCCTTTCCGCAACAGGGGAGGGAAAGCGACAGTGCAGGTGGAAGCCGCCTGCCTGCCAGGCCTCTGAATCTGAGACCCCTCCCCCTTCCAACCCCGGGAGCCTCCAGCGTTTGCGTGGGTAGTTGGGTTTGGAATACGAACATACTCCTGTCCTCAGTAAGCCACCAATGTGCAGGGATTGGATGCACAGAAGTCTCTTCAGGCCATACTCCCTAGAGTTATTTTACATGACAAGATGGCATCTCCGAGTTCACCTAATCCGTCCCAGACAGATGAGGCCCATGCTTCTGCAAAAGACTATGGGTCCTGCCCCGTGGCCTCCTTCCTCCTAGGCTTCAAGTCTTTGGCTCTTCAGGTGGGAATGTCAGTCCACATGCCTTTTCACACTCAGCTCAAATGCCACATCCTCTGTGAAATGTGTCCTCTTTTATCCTGGGCCCCAGCTCCCCAGCAAGATTAAGTTCATTCCCACGTCTCACTGTCTATATATTTAGCATAATTTCTTTTTATGTTGTATTTAAAAATAGTTCCCCCTTCTTCCCTACCTCCCCACCCTCCTCCGCCAGCCATTTATGGGCCTGCCAGACTCACTGCATTTTAAGTACTTTAGGGCAAGATTTGGGTCTTGTCCATCTTCATGGTCTCAATAAAGTTTGAACTGACTCGATGTAGCCTGAACCACGCCACTAAAAAGCCAATCGATTTGCATGTTATGTTTTCAGACCCAGGTTGATGTGATACCCTACCTGCGTTCCTAATCCTTCCATCCTTCCAGGAACCACCCCTTCCACCTCCTCCCCCCCCGTCTCTCGCATGTCTCTCTGTCTCTGTCTCTCTTGATGCCATCTCTCCGTCTCTTTCTGTCTCTACCTGCCTGATCTTCACGGGTCTCACCCTCAGCATCACAGTCCCCAGCAGTGGGCTGGCTCCAATTGCAAACAGTGTATGTCCTTCCCTGGATGGAATTCTGTCATGGCTGGGAGAAGGGTCCTCTGAACGAACCCTGGCCACAGAAAGCATCTCTTGAAAGATCACTGTGGTGACGGTTCCTATAGTGATCAATAGCCTCAGGATGGAGCCTTTGGGGTTGTGGTGTATGCTTAGTACCGAACACAAAGGCCTTTCCAGGGGGCATGAAAACCAAGAGGAAGACCAGCAAGAGTAGCTTCGCAAGATCTCCTCCCCCATGTGGCGCTTTCTCTGTGTCCCTCTCTCTCTCATGTCTCTGTCTCTTTTGATGCCATCTCTCCATCTCTTTCTCTGTCTCTGTCTCTCGCTCTGCCATCCACAGGTCTCACCCTCAGCATCATGATCCCCATCAATGGGCTTGCTCTGTTGCTAAGAATAAGCCCTTCATGATCTGGGTACAAAAAGAGCAGGAACAGGCAAATCTGCCACTCACACAGCTGTGCTTGGCAAAGAGGGAGAAGAATTCCTTCAGACAAGAGCCCG